GAATATCAAAGTCTTATCAAAGCAATTATAAATGTCTTGACACCTATCAGTGCTACTGATAACAACCTTGTGAAAATAAACACAGCTGAACCTAAGGATCCACGGAGGTTCAGTCAATCAAGAGACAATTTGGAAGCGTCTCTTTTTTTGAGAATCGATGCATGCACTTGGTTGATGAGTCATCCTTTAATTGATTGCAATAATTTATGATAAATGCTCTGTCTGGGCTTGATTTCCATGCGGTCCACGCTTTGTGATCCTGACCCGATCTTGATCCTGATGATGGGATTCTGTGTGTATTTCCACAACTTGTTACTAAGAATTCCTCCTTATGTAGATACAGTACACGTTGATATACAGATCACCTCTTAATACGCTCTTAAATATTGCTGAATCTACTGTTACATACAGTACAGCAGGAATGCTGCAGATGCAAAGTGCTGTGTGTATTTTTGGCAGTCTTGTACATTGATGAGACATCTGCTTGCAAGAACTTTATTTTCTTTATTTCAGGTATTACATTATATGTGGTATGGTATGACAATGTCTAAGGCAGCACAAGCAGGGAGCATGGGGGAAAATATAATAAAAGGATAGAGTAAGAATAGAAATGCACAATGTATCGCCAACTGCTGCACCTCTAAGAAAAATCAAACATACAGCACCTGGAATACAAAATTTACAAAATACACAGATACATAAATCAACAATCTTCTTGTAGTGTGAGTGTGAATATGATACAGAGAGCCAAGAAAGTGAGAGTGCCTGTGTCTTTCTCGCGAATGTACTTGATAATGAGGGTGGAGTGTCGCAATAATGCCCCCCCAGGAGCCAGAGGCAGACAGAGAAGGAATCAGGAAACCCACGCCATTGGCAGCCCCCAAGAGTACCAGAGACCTAAAGCCACACATCTCAGCAACATCTGCATATCCGTCCAAGCAGGAGAACGAGGGAAGCCTAAGATGGGGTGCCCAAGGACAAAAGGTGAGAGTTTACCCCACTAGAGGCTGCCTGGTACAAGTCAAGAACAGGGCTCCAAGTGGTGCGAGTCAAGAACAGGGCTCCAAGTGCCCAAGAACCACTTGGAGCCCTGTTCTTGACTCGCACCACTGCCGGGTACCAGAACCACCTGGCACCTGGCAGAACCCCCACGCCCCAAGAGGAGAAGCGGGCCACCAAGGGAGTGGGCAGGAGTGTTCAGCAGGGAGCAGTGACCATGTCCCACAGGGGCCAAAGCTCAGAAAGACCCAGACCCAGCCCAACACACTCACTCATACAGACCATTCACTCACTCACTCTCACCCACCCACTAATGACACACGGTTCGATCCCCGGGCTCTCTGTCTTGATCGTTGTGTCCTTGGGCAAGACACTTTACCCTACCGCCTACTGGTGTTGGCCAGAGGGGCCGATGGTGCGATATGGCAGCCTCGCTTCTGTCAGTCTGCCCCAGGGCAGCTGTGGCTACAACCGTAGCTTGCCTCCACCAGTGTGTGAATGTGAGAGTGAATGAATAGTGGCATTGTAAAGCACTTTGGGTGCCTTGAAAAGCGCTATATAAATCCAATCCATTATTATTATTACCATTTTTAATAAAGGAATATGATTCAACCGTACCAGGACTGAGAGCTTGGTATAAAAACTTATACCTAGATATCTAATGTTACCTCACCTGTTGATTTATTCCAGTTGATGGAGTATTCCGATATAGATGAGACTTATGTATAAGTGTGGTTGTCTTCATAAGTGAGGTTTGTGAGCTCCTGAGGAAAAATAATACACCATCAACATATGGGCTTATCATAGGATCTGTATTTTCAGGTTGAACTCCTTTGATATCTACATTTTATCTGATTTCTCCTGCTAATGGTTTGATAAAAAATAACACAAAGGGGGAAAGTGGACAGTACTGTCTGGTGCCCCGCAAGGTTGATGCTTGCAAAGCGCAAAAAATGCACATTAGAAGAAGCTTGTACCAGTCTGCACCACAGTCGAGCAGTCCCCGTGTTGCATTCAGACAAAGGGGACTTTTGATCTCTCCTTATTAGCTGAAGCATTCTTGACTGCATAAAACACAACAGAATCCAGAGTCACTTATTGATTGCCATTATCTTAAAAAACGTTTCAGAGAACAGTTTAACATTCAAAATGACACATTGTGAGTTAAAAGAAGAACAGTCTTTGAGCTCTGTTTCCTTTGGAGCCAATCACTTTACCAGGCAGTCAAATAAGCTTCTGCTATTCATGCTGCTGTATGTGAAGGGAATACACGCTGTTCTTTTCCCCCTACCTTTTCCCTCACTCGCTGTCTCTCTCTGCCTGTCCCTAAAATGTCCCTGCTGGGGATTCTATCTCCTGGTTCCTTTTGAAGCAGTGGCCTCTCTTTGCCTCCATTATCTTGTAATTTGTGAGGGATTACACTCTGGAGCACACACAGTCCACCCCGTTGCTTAAGAGCTGTGACAGCTTACAATAATTGCCATGCTAATTAGCAGGAACTAGCCCAGCGCGCTTCGTTCCCTCACCAGACCTGATTTGATGAATATGCTTTGATTAATGTCTGCAGTGATGTTTCCATAAATTTTAAGACCTTATAATTAACCAATAATAATGAAGGATATATGTTCACAAGTAAAACGTAGAGTGTATTTTCTCAGGATGAAAAGAAACGGCAGCGCTTGCTTCTGCTAGGCAGGAGCACAGAGTTAATGTGCGGAGAACATTTGCCTTTTTTTGTTCCAACTCTTTGTCAGAGAAGTTTTGATTGTCTTCGTTTGACATAATTGTGTTGATTTCCATGTCTTGTTACCCTTGAATAATTTCTGCTGTTGCTCTGACAGATTCAACAACAATTAAGGCACAGCTGAGTTGCCCACATTTCTTTTAAAAAAAACTTGCATAACAAAGCCCTGACGTTTTTTTAAAGATCAGAACACGTTGTTGAGGTTATTCAAACTCAACTAGCTAAACTTTGCGATGCTTTTATAAATGCAATTCAACCTCACAATTTATTTCATTGGGTTTTTGTGTCGTCGTCCCCCCGTCCCTACACCTCCATTTCTTCCAGGTGACTGAGGTTAAATATACCTCCATTATGCCGCAGACTAAGCAACTTATCTTTGAAGTTCTCGCAGACATGTACCTTCATTACAGCACGACCCTATCACCTTTACTCACAAATGTGCACATACCTCAGGGGACCTAATTGCTCGAGATAAGCAGGGCCTTTAAAGCCACACACAGAGAATTGACCTTCAATACCTCAAAATGTTTGTAGCTATATAGAATAATAAAGTAACAAATATCTAAGATGTATGACCTTTAAAAAAACAGTGGCATGGTACCATTGCATTTTTTTCTCTCAAACAATGTAACTGTTTTGTGTTTCTGGCTTTCAGCAATGACACACTTGTGCAGACTCACCTGCTCCAGCAAATACCTACATCTAGGGAATAATTTGGTCAGACCAGTTCATTAACACTTTGCAGGAACAGACATATTCCACTGGGACACCGTTTGCAAATACTGCACGCTGCATGTAACGGCGTGATTTAGGATTATACTGTATATGTAATGAAGCACATACTTTCAAGGGAAAGGATGAAAGTATGACATTGTTTCAGGAATAGTTTCATGTCTAATTGTTGGTACAATCCACACTGATAATGCTTGTTTACTGTTACTGTTAATACTGTTTATCATTTTAATATGAACTTTCATGTTAACATCTGTCTCGCAGTGTTTCATAAATGTCAGTGTGGAAAACTAAGATATCTTTAACTGCAACCTCGTGTCTGTTATCTTTAATTAAAATATTGTTTTCTGGGCTGTTTACTTGTATTTATTTTCAGCATTGTGCTATTTCACAAATGTCATAGATGTTGGCTGGCAATTCCACCTGACACACTGTAGAGAAAGATAAAAAAATATTTGTGGATTTGAGGTTTGTGGATATGAATAAAATCAGATTAATATGTTTTACTTTGAAGTTGTAGTTTTTTTTAATCATTTGCCTGTAAAGTAATAGCCGTCTTGCATTACTGAAATAACATTGACCTTGTGTTACTGTATGATACTGTTGTTGTGGATGTCGTTATAACACAGAATAATGACAGTATAGAAACCAACAACAGAAATACTGAATGAAAAATTGAGTTGCAGAAACTAGGACATAAGACATGACAGTAAACTGTCAAGTGTATGATGCCGCTACTAAGAAAAGAGTCACAACTGAAGAGAGATGTTAAAAGCATGTAGCATGAACTAGTTTGAGTATTTTAGGGATTTTCCTACACATCCATCTCTAGACTTTACAGAGAATAGCACCAGAATCAGGTGCAGTTTTCTGTGAAAGAAATTCCTTGTTAATGTCAGAGGCCAAGTCAAAAGTGGCTCATATAAGAAGAGAATATCTGATCACACAACAGGTGGAACCTTGAAGCAGATGGGCTGCAGCAGCAAAAGACCGCACCAGGTGCCATTCCTGTTGGCTAAGGACAGGATACTGAGGGGACAGTTCACACGGAATCACCAAAATTAGACAATTGAAGACTGAAAAAAATGTTGCATGGTCTAATGAATCTTGGTTTCTACAGCAACATTCGTAAGGGTCAGGATTTGTTTTGGTGTAAAACAACATGAAAGCGTGTAGCCAGCCTTCCTTCTATCAACAGTTCATGCTGATGGTGGTGTAATGGTGTGGGTGGTTATTTTCTTGGCACACTTTGGGCTCCTTTGCAACAACTGAGTACAATTTAAGCACTACAGCGTAACTCAGTACTGTTGCTAACCATGTCCATTTCTTTATGGGCACAGTGTACCAATCTTCTTATGGCAGCTTCAAGCAAGACAGTGCACATGTCAGCATGGACCACCGTCTGTGGAAGGTTTCCAACACCTTGTTGAAACTATACCAGGGAGAATTAATGAGGTTATGAACGCAAAAAGGGGGTCCAACCCAGTACTTGCTAGGTATGACTAATGCTAGTAGCTACTCAAAAATACTCTGTCCGGTCACGTGGCGGCTGCCTGTCACCTGATTGAACCGATCAGATTTCAGCCGTGGCGTGTTGTCCCTGTGAAGCAGACCAAAGATTGTGAAAGAGTTTCAAATCCATAGCTACACGTAAGTCTGAGTTTAACATTTTATCCTCGCCAACGTTAGTAAGATAACTATTTAGAGTTACTTCCGCTCTTAGTTTGAAAGGTAACGCTGCTTTAGCTCAATAAAAACACAGTTGAGCTGGACAAACGTAAATAAAAACAGCTATTATGTCGACCTCTAACTAAAACCTTAAATTCTTCACTTGCAGATGAGAAGCTGTATTAACTGCACCTTGCTTAACGTGGTTAATTGACCAATTTGAGCTAACTGCCTTGTGTTTAACATCATTTTTCATAAGTCCAGTGATGGAGGATTGCACACTGGAAGAACAACTTCTCCTTCATGCTAAAGAGGGCAACTGTCCTCAGGTTGAGAGGCTCCTTCAGTCGAGGATTCACCAAAACAGCTCTCTCAACATCAACTGCAGATGTAAGCTGGTGTGTGGGGGAGGATGCCATCATCCAGCTGCCCTAATGTCACATGTAACTAGAAAATTGCTGATTTTATTTTATTTTTTCTTCTTCTTTTTCTTTCTCTCGCTGTAGCTCGTTCGAAAACCTGCTCGGGATGGACACCTCTTCATTTGGCCTGCAGCTTTGGACACAGAGATGTTGTTGAGGAGTTACTGAAGGTGAGAGCAGTGTATGAGTCACATCATTACCATGCTTTTTGTGTTCAGGACCTGCAGCCAGAGACATTTTTTATATTCACCTAATAAAGAATGCATTTGCAGGCAGGGGCTGATGTGAATTTGCAGAATAACCTGGGTGACACACCTCTGCATAAAGCAGCATATGCTGGACGAAAGGTAAGGATAGAGAAGGGAAAAAGTAGTGCTTCCTTACAAGTCTGTAAAAGCACGGTAAACTGTGGTGTACCTTCTTCTTCTAACCTAATGTCAGCTGGATCAGCTGTCACAGAAACACATAATATATTTTCTCATCTCCCACTGAAGCTTTTGAGTGAAATGTGATGGTCAGGTTTTTTCTTTAATCCCCCCACCCCCACCCTTTGGACCCTTAAGGAGATTGTTCTGTTGCTTCTGCGCTATGATGCCTGTGCCAACATAATCAATGGAACTGCTCAAATCCCCAAAGATGTCACAGAGGACGATGAAATCATTACCATGCTTGAGGGTATGAAATCATGGGAGCGTGTTTCTTTTTTTTTTTAATTTTTTTTTTTTTTTTAAACGTCTGATGGCTTCTCATTACTGAAGATCAGCTGCCTTTGTTCTCAAGTACTGATTTGGTTTGTGCAGCTGCAGAGAGGAGAGCGGCAAGGCGGCATGAGGAGAAGCTTCTGGAAGCAGCCAGAGAGGGGGATATATCCACTCTGTCTAAATTGGTTAGTGTCTGACCTTTCAAAGAACTTTTGGCAGAAAATAGTATGCTTTAAGAGCATCTCTCCAAATTTCACACATTTAACAAGTGCCTTGGGGCCTTGCACACACTTCAGTTGTCTCCCAGAGATTGTTGAAATGCACCACCGTTATTACAAATACTCTTTATACGATTCGATATTTGTACAGAGTTCGGGGGGTCTGATGTTCAATCACAAAGTGACAAATCTGAGTCCACAAATAAGATGGCATGTGGCAACTTGCAGTAAAAGCCAGTTCAGGTTTTGTTTTGTTTTTTAAATCTCATTCTGTCTTGCTGTTTTTAAGATTGACCATTTAAATAGTTTTATGCATGTTTCAGATAGATGTATGTAAAAGGTTAACCTCATTTTCCTGCCTGTTGTTTCTGTCATTTCTCTGGTTTATATCCCTCAGCTCAATGGGAAAGATGCTCCAGATATCCACTGCAGGGATTCAGTGGGTAATACGCCTTTACACTGTGCAGCCTACAGGGGGCAGAAGCAGTGCGTTATAAAGCTGCTCAAGTGTGGAGCCAACCCTAGTATCAAGAACAACAATGGTATATCACTTATCTTGTTCTCATCATCAGCTCCTATTATTCCGGCTGTTTAATTTGTTCAGTGGTGTTTAAAATGGTTGTTTAAGAATCACACGTTATTTTCTAAGGATGGTAAATACTATAGTCCACCGGTTTTGTTCCAAGGAAGTGTCAAAAGGTGCATAATAATTTGTTTGTATGGCTGATGATTTTGCAGCTCAGACTGCATTGGACCTGGTTTGCACTGATGAACTGAAACAGATTCTAGCAGCCTATAAAAATAAGGTGAGCTCAAATGGCTGGTCTGTAATGTCTCATCCGCTTTGAATGATCAGGATGGGTTCTGCTAAGAACATTCGGCACAGCTGCATTACAAGTATGGTGTCTTAGTCGTGATCCACAAAGGATGATACCTTTTTGGTTACTTGATTAATTAGAGTACTTGAGCTGCCCCTCATTTCTTTATATTTTATTTCCAAGGAGCCAGGCTTTCTTGTAATTTTTCTTATAAAGTGGTTTTCAGCAATAGTTCTCCAGGCTTTCTTAATGTTTTGGGGGGTTTTTGGGTAATTTGTTTTTTAGATATTTGCTGTTATTTATAAATACATCTAATCCAAGGGATGAATTGGTGTTGTGTTTACAGATAAACAATAATTTAAGTTATATCTTTAGGCACTTTGTTACTAGCAGCCTGTAACAAGGGGCATCAGTTGATCCCATTTCATTAGTTGGATCTGCAAAACATGTCATAGATAACAGTTTGACACGCATAAAATAGTTTTGTTTTTTTTCGTGCCAGCTGAAAACGTGACATATCAGGGGGGAAAAAATGAGGCGACTAGGCAAGTGCAAGACAAAAGAGAAAATGTCAGGCTAAAAAAAGTTGTCTAAGTGTATATGAACAGTTTCTAAAGGTTATATTCTTAAAACAAATTGGGACCTAGACCGGCCCTTCACTTTTCACTGAAGTCTCATCAGAAGTGGAAAGAAGAAGTTGGAAGGGTGGCTGTCAAGACGTGTGTCTTAATAAAGAGAAACCAGGAGAAAAGGTTGAAGTGCGACTAGTTACACAGGAAGTGAACTGAAACTTAAAGGTAACGGGTCTTATGGGCTGATGGATCCAAATTCAAGTTCAAATTGTCATCAGTGTGTACGGAGGAGGTAAAACAACCGGGAGGCTCTGTCATGTTTTGGGGCTGCAATTCAGCCAGTGGTGTTAGAGGTCTTGCAAAAATCGATAGAAGATAGGCACAGAGCAAAATATCGTCAGACTTTGGTCCACCATGCATGAAGTGGAAATGTCTGATTGGCAACATACGTAGATGATGCTGCATTTTGGTTTGTTTTTGATTTTGTTTTTTTAATCTGTCATGGACTGACCTTCCCAGAGTCCAGACCTCAACACTATTTAAGTAGTGTGGGATCATCTTGGCAGGGAATGGAACAAAAGGTCCAAAGAAGAGCTTTGAATGTCCTTCAAGAAGCCTGGAGAACTATTCCTGAAGACTGCTTAAAGAAATAACAGGAAAGCTTTCCCAAGAGAGTTCAGAATAAAGTTTGTCATACCAAATATTTATTTTATTTGTATAAACAGTTTTTTCCTTATATCCTGGATTTCTTTTACATTTGCACGTTTCAATGCATTCAATAAATTTCCCCTTTTATTAGCCATGAAATTTGACTCGAGGCTTTTGCGCAGTACTTGTGTCTTGTCATTTTTTAAAAAATTTTTTTTTCACCAAATTTTATCTGGGAAAACTGCAAATCCAACTTGATGAAATTTACTGTGCTCATTCTTGTTTCTCACAGGGTTAAAGAGCCCATCACTGGAAACGTGTTCATAAAACCAAAAGGCACTTTAAAAAAAAAAAAAAAAAATCTAAAGTCCATCACATTAATCACAGATACTGCAGTTCTCTGAACTACATCATATCGGCACTTTCTCTTTTCGTATGTCTTCATGTGTTCACACAGTTATGGTGACTGTGGAGGAAAAAGTCAGCTTTTATTAAGAATAAATACGTCCGTATCTGTATGTCTGATAGTGCAGCGTTAATGTGGAGCACCACGTAGTCATGGTGCAATTCTTTTAAAAAGACTGCGCGCTAATGCTGTTAGTATATTAAAAATGAATGATTCACACACAGACTATTCAACGCTGTACACAAGACTGATATTTCGTTTTTCTTAAAGGACATGAGCAGTGTGGTGCAGAAGATTGAAGGACCTCTTTGGAAGGTATCTGGATTTATGTTGTACTATTATTAGGTCAGACCATGTTCAGACTTTGACCTTTACAATTTGATGAAATTGACTTTTTTCACATTACATGACACAGAATATTTGAACTTCTTTAAAAAAAAAGACTTATAGGAACTATTTATTCTTTTGTTTTTCTTAACATGCTATACTTTAATTTACAAGAAAAGTCATACCACTCTGGGATAACAATAATAATAATAAAACTTTAAAATTGATCATATTTGTTCTTTCTAAAGTCATTTAAACTAGATGTGTAATGATGATGTGTAGTTTTGCTGCGTGGGGTATTTGTTAAATTATTGTTTCTCTGACAGAGCTCACGCTTCCTCGGATGGCGTTCCCACTGGGTTGTAGTTGAGAATGGAACCGTCTCCTGGTACCCTAGACAGTGAGATACTTTTATCAGCCGATTTTATAAAGCTAAACGCTATAGTATGTATATTTATAGTATTATATATTTCACTTTGTGTGAAATGTTGCTTATAATCCACTAATGAAATGTTTTGTTTTTTTAAAAAGAGAGAGGGGATATAAAAATAACTGTTACTGGAGATGACGTCGCCTGTGGTTTGCCAATTATACCGTTAATACTTACTTAAAAGTGGTAACTGTTAATGCTGCTTTATCTTTCACTGTGAGTGTGTGTTTGTGTGTGATTTTTCTGCATGCTCTTTCATCATTTTTGTTGTTGTTTTTGTTTTTTTTAGAGCTAATGCACTGGCTGGTGTTAGGAAACAGGGCTGTAAGTCTCTTTCACAAGCCTACTGCATGGTAAGTACTGGAGGTTTAGAGGCGTGTTTTCTATCAATCTATATTACCCCACAGATGCTCAGTAAATACATGTTTCATTTATTTTCAATTTGAAGCATGATGTTGAGTTACATCTATTGCAGCAGTGATTGCAGTGCATTAGTGATTTCTTGTTATTCCAGGTCAAACCATGGGATCACTGCTTCTTCATGCTCAGGTGCTTCGATGACTCTGTGCATTATTTTAAAGTCCCCTCGCAGACAAATGCCGTGGCAACAAGAAAAGTGAGATAAAATCGGTCACCTTCTTTATGGAAGAAACAGTATTATCTGTATGAAAGGACTAATATGGAAATGTTGCCGCCATTTATTCTGTTAGAGATGGCTGGATGCTTTTGAAGAGCATGCATCCTACTGCACTCGCCACGACACTGAAGAGGTGATTATAGATGATGCTGCGGGTGATGTGAGAGTGAGGAACCTTGAACAAGCGCTTCAGGTAAGACCGGGATCAAAAAGTAAGGTGATGATGATCAGATGGTTTATAGCACTATTATATCGAACCCAAAAAGTTGATTCATTTCATATCGACGTAGCATTTTCAAAAATTACATTAACCTGTGAATTGTGATGGATCACGCGCCGGATGAACTTCAGTGTCATTGACCTTTGGGTTTGAGCCATATAGGATTTCAAAACCCTCAGTTTTGTTGAGTTGTACAGAGTTCTAGTGTTAAGTTTCTCTCTTGTCTAAAATTGTTGCAGGCAGCCAGGGCCTTCCAGCAAAAATTGGAGAGTGAAGTGTCAACATTTCTGTCCATGGCGAAGAATGAGGAGAATTATGGTAAGTGCTTCAGACATATCCAGTTATTACTGTGCCGAGATATTTTAGGAGAGTATTTTTAGACTTGTTCAAAAATGATTATTCAGGCTGGTAAATGACAGAAAATTATCAAGATGACCAACCATTTATATCATTTGCTGTGGAAAAAGCATGTGCGGCTGGGATACCAGACCTCAATGCAAAATGTAGAATTAAATTTTGTTCTAGAAAATTGCAGCCACTTCATTAGCTACACCTGTTTAACTGCTCATTAGTGAAAGTATCTAATCAGCCAATCACATGGCAGGTACTTAGTACATTTGGGCATGTAGACATGGTCAAGATAGCCTTTCTTATTCATCAGGATGGGGAAGAGAGGCGACTTTAAGTCACTTTGTGTGTGACAGGCTGGTTTGTGTATGTTGGAATCTATTGGGATTTTCCCACATAACCGTCTCCAGGGAGAGAGAAAGTATCCAGTGAAGAGCACGTCTGTGGGCAGAAATGTTGATACTGAAGTGAATGGCCAGACTGCTTTGAGCTGACAGGCACACAAATGAACTAAAATAAAAACACATTCCAACTAACTTATGGACAAGCGCATCTCTGAACACAGAGCGCAGTGCAGTTCGCACAGGCTGAACAAAAATGGACAATAGAAGGTAAGAAGATTTTTGCCTGGACTAATGAGTCTTGATTTCTGCTGTAACATTCATATGGTAGGATGAGGCATGAAAGTATGGCTACATCCTGCTTTCTGTAACCTTACCTTAACCTTAGCTAAATTAGACCCCATTTACCATGCTGCCGTAACGTATATAACAGGCTCACACTTCATGACTCATCGTTGCACTTTGTAAACCCTTGCTGGATTTACTTCACTCAATAATCAAAGGTTGAAGCATTGGGATATTTTTACATGCAAAGCCATTCTAAGAAAATTGCCGTCATATACCTACGCCAAGTTCATTGCCCTCCACAAGACCTACAATCTCAGAGCCAGTAGCTGGCTGCAGTTTAAAGTGTCCTTAGCGAGCACGGAGTGAGGAAAGTTTAGTCTATCTTTTTTTCCAGCCCGTGATCTTGGAATGATCTGCAGCTCAGGAATCTCTTATCCCTTTAACTACTTTTAAGTAAAAACTGACAGATGTTTTAGTCGCCAACTGTACCTGTAAAATTTAAATGGGTGGAATTTGATTTGGAACTTGTTTTGCACTTTGCAAACTGTGCTGCTTCTCATCTTGGCCAGGACATCCTTGTAAAAGAGATTCTCTCATCTCAATGGATTTTTTTTCCTGTTTAAATAAAGATTAAATTCAAATTAAATAACTTGTTCAGGCTGGTGCTGCTGGGCTAATTGTGTGGGGGATATTTTCTTTGCATTCTTTAGGCCTTTTAGTAGTAGTTCAACAGGGTGCACATCTTCTGCAATAAATACACATGTACTCAGTTAATTGTGAAAAAAAAAAACATGCCAGTAATGAAAAATGATGTTTAATTCCTTTTTTTAATATATAATATTGTGTACAGTATAAGCTAATACAGATACATTCATTTTATTTTTTTTATAAAGAGTTGACTGGTACACTTCTGCTGAAAGCAAAAGAGACGAGTGAACTTTCCAGTGAAACATGCTCTGCTCTCCATCTGTGCCTTGAACTGCTGTCAAAGCAAGAAGAGGTAAGAGGAGCATATTACTCTTCTTGGGGAGGGCAAGTTGAGACAGTCCATCATCTTTGGATGGATTCTACTGCTTGAAAATCTATTATAGATTATTTAAAATAGTGTAAGAGTTTAATCTAATGCAGTGTAATCTGTGATTCTGATGTATTTTGATTCTGTCAGCTGCATGCAGTCTTCTGTAACCCCTCCACTTGATGTAAATAGAGGGTACTGTTGTAGATTAGCTGCAGCTCACTGAGCATGTATGAATCGTCCTCTCATTCATATACTTTCACCCGCATACTCTCCTCCTATTGGCTGAATAAATTATACTGACTGATTACAAAATCCTTAAATCCCTCCCCCTTACGTTAGCTCCTTCACACCAATCAGGTTTAAAATGTGTGTGTGAGTGTGTGCGTATGCAGGCGCGTGCGTGTACCAGTCCCTGTCCACTTGTCTTGGTGGCTGTGCTGTGCCCTTGGGGAAGCACCAGGACAGCGTGGTAATCACTGGCACGTCTGTAGGAAGGACGTAGGAAAGATCCGCTTTTATGCTTAGGTCTGCATTCAGCCTGCAGATCAGTGCAGACGCACACACGCAGACACTCTTGGACTCGAATCCACACACTCCCGCTCTAGGGGAAAGGCTGTGCGTTTAGTGAGGGAACCCAAGCGCTTTCATATTCACTGGCTCAGCCGCAGATACATGTATTCACGCTCGCATGGTGTGAATACACTCCCGCACGCACATTTCCATATGCCAGAGCATCCGAGAACGGGAAAAGAAGACACAGCGACAGCACTTTCCTCTCGCATCTACACAGGTAAAACAAAACAAACAGTTGTTGTTGTTGTTGTATAAAATTTACAGCTTTGCCTTTTATTGTGAGCTGAACAACCGGCTGTGTTTGCCGGTTGTTCAAAGCGGCAAAAAGCGTTTTGAAGTTTGGCGCGATTTAATTTGATGTTACTTAGTGTATTGTTGATTTGAGGGTTGGTCTAAAGCAGTGGCGCCAGCGAGGGCTGTTCATCAGTATGCGGAGGTCATTTCTGTGGATTTAATGATCTGTATTTGGAGTGTGAAACTGAGCGTCTTTGAAGTGGCACCGAAATCTACACTGCTCATTACATCTTTATAATGAGATCATCTTATAAAGGAATTAATTCTGCCAAGTAGGAGCATAGATAGGCATTGATTAAATTGCACTGAGGATGCATTTGATCTGGTAATAGATAAATGGAAGGATTCAAAGCAAAGGTTTGTGGGTTTAACTATTCAATCATTCTTTATGTTGCACCCAAATTATTTCCTTTCTTCCTTTAGCAGCTGATTTTAAATTATCACTCTAAAACTACTACTCTGTGCTTACTGTATGATATACACTTAGACTGCCTGAAAACCTTTAATAAGGCAACTGTCTTGTTGACTCGTTCTTGTTAATTAAGCATGCATGAGAACCAATAAAACACAAGGGTGTTTAATATTTTGCTATAAATCCTAAATATAGCAGTATTGCACTGACTAAGAGTAATGTATTCATCCAAATCTGGTACAACTGTCATGTCACTAGGACTTAATCAGGCTTTTTAAATAAGAAAGCCGAGGACGTTCACTGGAATCTCATCAATCAAACATTAAAACGTTCCAATAAAACAAACTGGATTAATTTCTGACAAACGAATGTAATAAGAAGAAAATGTCTTAACAAGCATGGTAAATCTACTGGTGCCACGTTAAGCTAATGCTACTACATGTACAAAATGGATTATATTTTCTACAGTGCTGAGATTGCCCGTGTTAAGCTGTATTAGCTCTAATCCCACATTTCTATTCTCCCACCCCAGATGCTTCTGTTGGTCATACTTGTTTTCTACTGTCCACAGTCCACGGCAGTATTCACATTCTGTTGTAACTGCACACATGTTTGATACTGAATCATGTCACTTAATGGCTCAAAGGGTCTTTCACCAATTAGAGTATTGTCCTTCAGAAGTGTAGATGTGGTCTGACCCATTTCAGCAGGCGCTGCAGAAGTAAAGTATGCTAGTGGAAGTGCCACATCTTTACAGTACATGTAGGGCACACTGTGACTAGGATGTGAGTATATGGCATATAAAGTAAGGAGAATTGTGCTTTTAACAAATGGGTAGAAAGCTTCATGAGGAGGTTTGACGACACTCGCGTACAACAGAGATTTATAGGCCCCACTTTGCTTGGTGTTTGTCAGGCGGCACGATTGCCCCCCTTTCTAGAAAGCGAACAGAGGATTACAGTTTGGAACCACTTAGTGGTGATGTGCTGAAAAGCAGATCTGTCACTTTGTGTTGGTCTGACGTCAGGAATAAGGCATAAAGTACATTTATTTGATTGAAGTTATACATTTTTTCTTCTTCTTTAGTCTGTCAGAAAGCCAGTTGACCTTTAAAACTTTGGGGGTTGGTGTGAAGACAGTGTAGCAATTGGCCTTTAGTTCAGCCATTGCCACATAAGTAACAAACCTCCTGTCGTATCCCAGACAGGAGATTTTTTACTGGCTTTGTTTCAGTAGTGGCTGGTGAGTGGGTGTGTATATATATGCATGTATTCAGTGCAGTTAGGTATGTAAACATGGTCAAGATGGTCTGCTGGCTTTAGAGTCACCTTTAAAGGTGACTTTAAGTCACTTTGTATGTGTCAGACAGGCTCGTCTGAAGGTTTCAGAAACTGCTGATCTACTGGGATGTTCCCACACAACCGTCTCTATAACAATAAAATCCAAAAAAGAGAAAATATCCAATGAGCAGCAGTTCTGTGGTCAGACTATCTGAGATATCCAATTCTGGCTCACCTAAATTGGACAATAGTAGATTGATCAGACCAAACATTTTTCCAATCTCGAGTTCTCCTATGATGTTTGGGTGCTAGGGTCAGAACTGGATGTTAACAACATGAAAGCATGAATTCAGTCTACATTGTATCCATGATTCAGGTTGATGGTGGTGATGTAATGGTGTGGGGGGTGCACTTTGGGCTGGTTAGTACCAAGTGAGCATCATTTAAAGACTACCTGAGTATTATTACTAACCATGGCCTAGCCTTTCATGAACACAGTGTATTTTTGTTTATTCTGATTTTTGGGTCTGAGGTTCCTCATAGCGTTTACTACATCTCTTACTATAAAGGTACTTCCTTTACTCTAGTTGAATGGCTCCTTTGAAGCAGGCTTTCCAAATACAGTTGGATATAGAGTTAATGTTACAGTCCAATGTATAGAGCTATAATAATATTGCCTCTGAGGTTTGCTTTTCTTTAAACAAGAGAGTATATTTCAGCACAGAATAAAATTTTTACCCTTTGGGGTGCTGGCCAAGGAGAAGCATCCCTCCCAGGCTCCAGTAACAGCTACAGCACAGAGCCTCAGCAGGGCTTAAAATAGCACTGTTTGTGCTCAGGCGAGAGGATGCAGTGAGAATGAAAGAGCTGGCTGCGATGGTTACACAAGTGTTCCATTCCTGGATGGGCTCTCATGCCAAGTGCCTGGGACAGGGAGTGTTAACACAGGCTCCTAGACAGGAAGATGAGTCACCTTTAAACTACAGTATATATTTATCAAATATGTTTGATGAAAATAAAATCACAATTCAGCAGACATTCCCATTGTACAAACTTTAAAGAAAAAATATAATGCTAAAGAATTTGCCATTTTTATGCATTTTTAAATGATGCTGCATTTAAAGTCCTAAATTAGATGAACATAGATTCAGAAACACAGCTGTAATGGAAACGTTAACCTTAAATGTAGGTGCCAGACTTAAAGACTCGCTGCCAGACTTGTTCCCTAGTGCAGAAGAAGGGAGAATATAGAGAGTGCTGAGATCTCAGAGAGGCTCTCTTTGCTAAACCTAGTTATGGATCTGATCAATGAAAAGTATATGGGAATTTTCTATTAGCCAACACAGTAATTAATGGATCTACACCTGCAGCCTGCGGGATTCGTTACTGATCCGACCAGTAATTGCCCAGGACTAGATTAGATTAGATCAGTCCCAATCTCCAAGCTTACAAATGTACAGACTTTGAGGTCTCGGGGCTTTCACACAGTCAAATTGTCAAGTACACGAGACTCTTAAAAACCCTTTTGGTCCTTTACACACACTTTGACAGGCTGAAGCCAAATGTTCGACGTTACTTCTAATGTCTAATTGTTGAAAAATATGTGTGATTCTTTCTAATAATACTGTGTCTGCCTTGCGTTAAACCAGAGGGAACCAGAACAGGAATATAATTGTGCTTCTAATACAAATTACAATAAATTTGACCCAAGCTATCACCTTTTGTTAAATAGTCATTTTCTGATTTGCCAGTGCTGGCATTTCATTAACTGGTGACAGCTTCATCAGATCTTCATCTGACTACGGCAAAATAATAAATGATCTAAAGCTTATAGCTTGTGCAGACTTCTCAGTTGTCTTATTTTTATCCATTTTCCATCACCAACCTCATGCAAAAGGAGCTTATAAGTGTCTGTCATGTTACCAAGACAAAAAAGGATGTTGAACATGTTGTAGTTCTTATGTTTCTAGAGAAAGTGCATCGGTACAGATCTATAGATGGTCATTATAGATAAGCTGGACTATAACTTGACAGAGGATGATAAATTTGAATAAACAAGGTGTCTTGAAATATACTCATCAGATATTGAATGAATACATAGATCTCCAAATTTAACATTTAACGTGTCACTTTTTTTTGGATTTACATACAGTTTATTGGGATTTGACTGGATTTCAGTGATGCCTTTTTAAACCCTGCAATTTCCATAATAACCCAGCTGGAAGTTGCAGTTCCGGTTGTGCTGACCCAACATTTGGCAATTGGAAACAATCAATGTTCATTACAAATGGCTGGATCATGGTCTTTGGAGTAGGCATGCTATTCAGCAAGTAAGTAAATGTGTCTGGGTTTTCCCTGCCTCTTTTCTGTTAAGTGTATGTGGCTGATTTGATCAGATTCTACCACAAAGGCATCTGAAGCAGTTTATATTTAAGTCTTTGTGTTCAATCATATAATCATTTTATATATGCAGTATAGTAGCTGATGTTTTTGAGAGGATTTTTTGAAAATAATCAAAAGTTATTAGTTTCCTTCCAATCATCCCTTGAAAGGAAATATTAGACGTCATGAGAATCTGATGTCTGACGCAAAATCACTCATCTAAATCTTCTAAATGTTATATTTTTTTATTCATGTTGTTAATCAGACAACATCCTCGCAGGGACTAATACACTCGATCAAAGGGAAATGGGTTAACCACACATACACGATTACAGTCATAAATTGCTACCTAGACATTAAACTAGAGGCATCAGTAGCTGTGTCTTTGTGCGTGTCTGTGTGCTCACCTTGTAACACATCGGGCACGATAAGAGATGACACAGAACTTTTCATCTTTAGTCGAAGATACCGACCTTGCTGTCCAGTCTCAGATTTGCAGTGTGATTTGCAAGCTCCTGTTTCTCAGCTGCCTTCTTCAAGGTGACACTGGACGTTTATCAAACTGGGAAGGCTGTGCTCAGTTTCTTTATTTTGCAATAATTCACTAAACTGAATTTACAAGAAGTAAAAGGTGTTACCTGTTTTTAAATAATATGTTGCTGTTAAAGCTTTAGTGTTATTTTTGTCATTTTGTTAGAGGCTGTGGATATTTGCTGGGTTTTCGACTCCTGTTGGTAGAGCTTGAACATCAGCAGCAGTGGACAATAGGACAGACTAATCTGGGCTGTCACGCAGTGGCCTGGCTCAGGTTCCTTTGAAGGGACACTCAATCCTGGGCTTCGGAGCTCTCTGAGACTATGGTGTTTGGTTCAGCCTGGAAGAAACTAGATCTGTGGGCAGGGTTGAAACAATGACCTGCGCTCAAAACCCCAGACAGAGAGTCATGTTTGATTGACATCAAAATATTAATCTGCTTGTTCCACTATGATCATCACATATTTAAGAGCAATGTTTTTCTGCAATAAAATGTTAAGTTAGTAGCTCTGGGCACGCTCTCTTCGGTCGCTTTTAACCTTCTGTCTGGTTGTGCTGTGTTTGCAGGTGTGGAGCCTGAAAGTAGAGCAGGAAGTGGAGAAGAACAAAGCTCTAACAGAAGCCTTGCAGACTTTGGCAACTGAGAACCACGAGCTCAAGCAATCCTTGAGTAAAAGGCGGAAGTCCTCCAACCTTAGTACTCTCAATGAAGATGACTTCTATGATGCCGTGTCAGGTCAGCGGCCTCTTGGTGGAAGTAATCAATCAATGTGTGTAGTATGTCTTGTTGGTTGGGAGAGATCGAAAATGCAATTGTTATTTTCTACTGCTCGAAAACATGCTTACAATCAAATGGATTTAGAAATGAGGCAGGTCACGTCGCTTTTTGCAGATTTCTTGTTGTAAATTGCATTTTAAAAGAGTTAAATATTTTTGTTTTTTTTTTCTATTCTTCTGCTGAAAAACTCAGTATGTGGAGTACAATATACAATATACAGTGTACATTTCAGTACAGTCCTATTTAGCAGACTTTCCTTTTTTGTTAGATTTTGTGTGAGTCATATAACTGAAGGCGTCTGGATTTGGACAGATATTTCAAAATTGAAGCACCTGAGAACTGACATCTTCTGGTAATTGGATTCATACTTAAATAGCACTTTTCTACTAAGACTTCTTACTACCAGCCTCATTCACTAATTCACACACACACGGGTGAGTGTGTGTGTCTATGCCTAAGAATTCTTTCTAAGAGGCGTAGAAAAAATGCCTAAGAATTACAACCATCCATCCTGAGGTCCTTCCCTAAAATTTCCAAGAGGTTTTAGTCTGGGTTGTGAATTCTCCTGAAGCTACTCCAGCATACCCTGTGCTCTGTGCTTTGGGTCATATGGGTCAGATGATATGTGAATTATCATTCTAGTGTCTGTTCAAGGATCTCTTTGCATCCACCTGCATTTATCGATTAGTCAGTTCTTCCTAAGAAGCACTTCCATAAATTAATGTTGCCACCATTCTGGTTTATTTGAGGCATTCAGTGTTTAGTGTTCACCATCACTTAGTGCGTGGAGATCAGTTTTTCTTTCATCAGACTATAAAATCTTTTTCCTCTAAATGCTGTCTCATGGACAGATGGTCATCCTCTAGAATGTGCAGTGGACTATACTGCCCTTCTTGCACTTGTTACTTAATTTAGCTGCACAGATGCCTCTAAAAGATTAAAAGAGAGAGAAACCTGGTGGTTACAAATGTTCTCCTGTGGAAACACAGATCATTAGAAATAATTTTACGCACTGCCCCTGATCAATACTGTTCCACAGGGTTATTGCAGAGGTCTGCAGAGAGGTCTTCATGGCTTGGTTTTTGTCCTGATAGGTAGTGTGATTTGAGGCACCTTTTTATATACACAAGTGTATACTTTTCACAGCTATGTCTGGTCTATTACATTTTTCCATTACAGAAAATAAAATTGCAGACATGTTTAAAGGATAATCAAAACTAACAAGATGCAACTGTGTCACCATGAAGGGCTGAATTTTTAAAGCAACGTTTTCATTCTTTTTGCTTTACTTTTAGCATTCTGAACTGCCACAGAGCAAAGACTGATGAACAAAATTGCAATTTTAGTGCATGTGCACCTCTGTTCATATAGAGCATGCTTATTATGCAGTGTTAGATTTGCTTCTCCATCCATGTAGGTGGGTGGATGAGAAATTCTTTCAACACATAAGTCAGAATGCGGTACGTGAACGCACAATAAGCAGCAATTTCACTCAAGCGTATTCAGCTTCTCTTATTCGTCTTTGCTTTGTGATTTTTGACAGTAATGTCAGTGACAGTGCTTTCTAGGGGGAGGAGTACCATCCCAGTGAACACAGTGCAAACAAATGTTACAGGAAGCGAATCCTTTGTGCGGCCTCTCATTGGAACACAATCCTCAGGTGGGGTTTTGCATGGCAGCAGGGAGGGGGGATTTTGGAGAGGAACTCGAGCACAAGTGCTTATTTGCAGATAGTAAACTGTTGAGGCTGGAGGTTTTTTTTCTTTTCTTTTTTTTCATTTCCCGAGCCAGCAACTGGAACCTGTACTTGCAAGCGGTTTGGTATGACCTGGCATCTAACCCTACAGAGTCTGAGTCGGAGCACTCGCTGAGCGGCTTCCTGTCTGTGGCCAGTTACTCCTGCGAAGAGGACGAGGGGAGAGACACCCCCTTTCTCAACACCCTCCGCCGTCCCAGCGCATACAGGGGGCCTTCCGGAATGTCAGGGGAGGGTAACCATGGCAACCAGCCATCCCAGCACAATGGAGTTAAGCACAGGTGAGCTGGGACTTGTTTCAGTTGATGTTGTTGTGCTTGTTTACTGGATTAAATGATTGCAAAGAGCGGAAAATACAAAGGCTTCCAAGGCTCAGTGCTCGGCATTCAACTTGTTCACCGTTTGCTGTATGTGAGGCTTTGTTGAAGTTGGTGATAACAGGATTCGGTACGGTGTATGTTTACTTTGCCAAATGATGAAAATTTTGTGGATATGATTTGTTTGGTATCTAATGACAGGCTGCAGACCTCAGTCAGCAAGAGGATAGGTCAGTGGACAGAGCTGGTGTAATGGGATACCAGCTTTCCACCCTAGTCTGTTTTTTCTCATCAGGTGTTTTTTTGTTTTTTGTTTTTTTTTTGCTTGCTCGAGCATCCAGTCCACAGAGAATAGCCTGTTTTTGTTTTTCCTGACAGTTCCAACTCTCCAGGCCAACAGTCGTTTCAGTACTCAGTGCATCTTGCTGTGTTGTCGTGAAGATTTGACACTCTCTCTCATTTCCGTGGATGCTGATTCTGGCTTGGCCTGTCTTCCTCAGTCCAACAAGTGATCCATGAATAATTAAGCATGTGCTGGCTCAGAGTAGAGTTGGAGAAAAGGGCTGCCTGGCTAGCTCTGTGTGCATATGTGTGGGCTCGTATGTGTTGTACATGAAAGATTTATGAGGTGTCTGTTTATTTGAAATTAATTCTGTCATTCAAAGGATGCCCGTCAATGATTGCCTACAGTCTGGTGTGTTTTTCTCTATGTTGAGTCATTTTGCCATTAATTCTTTACAAGATTATTATTACGCTTATTTAACCAGGAGATGGCCTCGAAATCAAAAACTTTTACAAGGGAGAGACCTGGGAAGGAAATAGCTGTAAAAACATCTCAAAAATACAACAAATATAGAATAAAATATAAGCGCTATGACATAATATACAATAAACAAATGGCAATAATATAAAACCTTCGTAGCCTCTCAAGAAAACCATCCACAGGTCTCCACAGTAATTGATACAGGCGTGTTTAAATTGAAGTCTTTCTCTGAATGATTCTATGAAAACACAGTGTTTCAATTATCTGTCAGAACTCCAAATACACCGCCTTAATATATCATTAGTACCATGGTGTTGTAGCTGTGTTATCTGTTTGTATATGAAATAATGATTTGAAAACTGAGCACAGTGCCAGCTGTAAGATATTTCTGCTTCAAAGTAGTTAAAGATTCGCTTGTATAGCATGTCACACCTCACTTCCAGGTGGGCTCATGTTTCAGTAACCTCAGCTGACCAGCACAGTATCCCTTAAATGCATTTTTAACTGTATTTTGGAAACAATCAAAGATAGATTTGAGCATTTTCCTCCACATTTAAAGGTAAACATGTTAAATGTTTGAAGGAAGAAAGAAGAAATGAAGAAATCCATCCATGCTTTAATAAATCTTGAAGCAGAGGCCAGTGGAACAAAAAATAGGCCAGGAGTATGGTCTGCCATGCATCACTGCTCTGCTCATCCTACAGATGGAGCAAACCCCCACCCCCCACTCCCCGCTCACTGTTTATTTAGCTGAAGTAATGGCTTTTATTTGTGTGTTGGACCAGCACTCTTTTCATTTTTTTTTTTTTTTTCTTTAAACAAGGACACCATCTGCCTCCAGCTACCATACCTGTAAAAGAGTCCATACTGCAGATGCTGGCAAGACTGCAAGATGAACTCAGTGACCAAGAAAACAAAAACAAGCACATACTTAAATCTAATTTGTATCTTAGCTTTCTTATGTGAAGAATGTTTCCAGATAACTGCATATGCAACAAGAAAAATTAAAGGAAAGCGTATTATAGTCAGCGTGCACACACACACACACACAGCTGTACATGCATTCATGGGTATTGCATGAGGTTGAACAGACTAGCTGAAAGCTTACAGGTGTCGGATAACCCCTTTTCCCAAATGGTGGGTTGAGCTAAGTTGTCTGCTCTGAAGCTTTTAAATAGTGCAGCTTCGTACCCACAGGAGACAGATTTATGTGTTTTTAATGTGCGCTTTACCCAAAACATGAAGGTTTTAGAATTTAGCTCGGTGCCACATTTTAAAAGAAAAGCTGTTTGGAGTGTGGATGAGGCCAGATCATCTAGCATGAAGCCACAGTGTTTGCCTGCTTTGAATTGCACAGCTGAGACAACAAGCGATGTTGTAATTTTCCATATGTTAATAGAGCTGGATCACGTGATACAGGAAATCCTCTGTGTTTACCCTTCTTTTTGTTATTCATATTGCTTTCGCACAGAACATCTCTACCGGCTCCCATGTTCTCCAGGAACGACGTGAGCATCTGGAGTATCCTAAAAAAATGCATTGGCATGGTGAGAACACATCACTCTCAGTCCGGTAGATGTTTTGTTTTATTTTCCTCGTTGTGTTTTAATGTAGATATGAGCTTTTGTAATGTAGATTGTTGAATTAGAACCAGGATATGATATGAAAAAATTAGGATTTATGAAAAGCGTGGGCTTTTTTTGTAGTTGCTTTTATGAAAAAAGGCAAAATGTGAAACAGTATAGTGTAAAAGAAGTGTAGAGGTGGGGTTTGATCATCCTCAGTCTAAAATATAATCAGCCTCTCTGTGCAGCACAGAGAGTTCAGTTCATTTTTTCCCCCCAAAAGAGCTGAAAGCCCTTGACACTTACCCCTTTTTCAAGGGAGACCTGGCCAGACAAAGCACACCATTACGTGGTTACCAAAATGATAAAATTGGGTATAACAGAAACAGATATAGGATAACAAAAAACAGAGCAAATTGGGACAAACAAAAACAAAAAAAATAGAAAGCTCAGGTTATGAATAGTAGTGCTACACTCTTACGTTAACGAATCATTTTGAGTTTAAACTCTCCCAGGGAGAGCAAAAAACAAAAAGCCTTTTTGTGTTCTGAAGGTTTTCCCATAAACTTGAAGAATGCTTTTCTACAAAGTACTGAAACAAAATCTCAGTACACAAAAAACATAAACACAAGTGCTTTGGTCTCCTTAGGCTTAAGTCTGCTAATAAAGCAAAAACCATATCATGTTTGTCCTAATAGTCTTTTTTTTTATCTTCTCTAACTCTTCTTTGCAGGAGTTATCAAAGATTGCCATGCCTGTGGTGTTTAATGAGCCTCTGAGCTTCCTCCAGCGGCTAACAGAATACATGGAGCACACCTACCTCATCCACCAGGCGAATGCCACAACAGACTCTATCGAGAGGATGAAGGTACCATTCTGGCCATATATCCTTTCTTCAGTTAAATAAAAACTCCAAAACAGATGCATTTTTAATAGTAGTGATGCATTTAATTATCTGACTGGGATCAAATCACTATTCTCTCATTAAACTGCTGAACTATTATTAAATGAGTGCAGAGAGGCTGTGGCGTCTCGGCACTATCAAAAATTGAGTTAGTTGCCTGTAATTTGATTAACATAAAACAATGTTCGGTGTAGTGTGTTGCAGCATTTGCTGTGTCAGCTGTAGCGTCACAGTGGGAGAGGACTGGGAAGCCCTTCAACCCCCTCTTGGGGGAGACCTATGAGCTAATCAGGTAAGGCAGCAGACTCATCAGTATTAGCGCACCTATACACAAATCAGCTTTTGTTTACTGTACACGTGTATTTTTGTTAATGAGCTTTGTCTTGTATCAAACATACGCCTGCTTGCCATCAGAGACGATTTGGGCTTTAGGTGGATGTCTGAGCAAGTAAGCCATCACCCTCCGGTTAGTGCCTTTCATGCTGAGGGCCTCAAGGAGGATTTTGTCTTTCATGGTTCCATCTACCCCAAACTCAAGTTTTGGGGGAAGAGCATAGAAGCTGAGCCCAAGGGAGTTATCACGCTGGAGTTACCCAAGTGAGCTCACACTGAAGACTGTTTTATAAATCTGTTCTGATGTATTTTAGTAAGGAATTGTTTTTTTTCTCCTTTGCTGAGTGCTTTTTTGTCTCTGTAGATATAACGAAGCGTACACCTGGACAAACCCCACCTGTTGCGTCCACAACATTATCGTCGGTCAGCTTTGGATTGAGCAGTATGGCAGCGTGGAAGTGCTCAATCACAAGTAAAATATGTATTGCAGTGTTCTCCGTATCTGTGAAACACATTTGCATGCACAGAGACTTGGATGTAGGAATATATTTTTTCCCTTGCTCTGCAGAGGAATGTTGATCTACTTTATAAACCTTAAGCTTATTGATCATGGAAGCAGAACTGGGACAGTCGCATGAGCAGGTTAATTAATGTTTGAAAGCTTCAGCTCGCAGAGGGAGAGTGAAAGAGAATTGGTAAAGAGGCTATCATTTGCTTGCAGAACCGGAGAGAGATGCAGCATGACTTTCAAGCCCTGTGGCCTCTTTGGAAAAGAGCTGCATAAAGTTGAAGGATACATCCTAGATAAAAGGTATCTTTGTGAGTTATTGCTGTTTAGTAATGCCTGTAAGCAGTAAGTCAATTTGTCATAAAGCGTTTCTTTGTGATTTACTTTATAATGTATATTAAAGTGGCGCAGTTTATATTGCACGATGGGAATGTTAGCGCTTGGTATTATGTGCACCTAAAGCTGTGATATATTAATATCTCATCTTCTTATGTTTGCAGCAAAAAGAAGCTCTGTGCAATATATGGTAAATGGACTGAATGCCTTTACACAGTAGACCCTGCGACTTTTGATGCCCACAAAAAGACTGAAAAAAAGAATCCAGACGAAAAAAAGGGCAACAAACAGGTACCATGTTTGACTGCTTTCAAAGGCGCCTTTGTTCTGTCTCCGTTGGTTTCCAGAGTTTACGGCACTGGGCTTGTAGGTTTATTTGTTTTTGATGACCCCCCCCACCCCTTCATACCTTTTCAATATTTCACCCGGTAAACTGCTGAGGCTACAGCCCATAGTGTTTGTGCTGCACTTTAGAACCAACAAACTCTCCTAGTTCAAATGTGTTAATGTTATAAGGTGGATGTAAACACTTATCTCATAAAGCAAAATGTAATTATTGTTGTATTTAGTCTGTGTCACTTTTTCTATACCTTTATCATTAATGACATGGTGCTGGAACTGCTAGCCACCCTGTGAGTGTAGCTGTGCATCGTTACTGTTTAAAGTTCAGTTCACGGTGTTTAACTTGTGTTTATGTACACAGCATTGTCCATTTTGGTTAGCTCACCAATACCTTTTAAATTACTGGTAGTTTCCATTTTGCACAGGTGACTGAACGGCTGCTTCTTCCACCTGTAGAGACTGCCCTCTGGTGGTTTGTGCTTTGCAGTGCACACCACCTCAGTACAGTGTTGTCTGTATGAAAACAAAGAGGAGCATGTGTTTTATAGAGAGCATTGAAAAATCATGCTGGGACTTTACAGTAATCTACATGTAGATTAGATATGTAGTCCCCCATAACTGAGTAAGCTTGAACAAGTAAGGTCATGAGTATTTTTATGAATTCCTACAAGTGCAGTAAAGCAGAACCTACATTTGGTTGATATTTGGCCTTAAAGCGGCTCCATTTGCAGATCCCAGGAAGCGTTCATAACTTACAGTTCTATTTATTTGGTCCATTTCAGCTACTTCATGTTGCTGCATGTAATATATTTAGATCACGGCTCTGTGGGAACCAAGTGGTTGCTGGACTTCTTGATCTTGTCACTGAAGACAGTTCCTAATGACACTGGGTGAACCCTAAGGGAATTTGTCATGGTGCAGAATGATCTCAGGCACGGGCACTCAGGCACTCAGACACTGTGATTTTTATCCATAAGCCAACATTAAATCCCTGCAAATAACATGGTCTGTGACAACGCTTCACTGTTGCCTGCAGACATTCATCATTAAGGGAGCCCTTTAGTGGCCTGCCTTCTGTTGGGGTCATGTCTAGAGCACCTCTTTTTTTTGTCTGCAAGTATTGCCTAAAGAGCACATCTGAACAAACTGGACCAGATTGTTCCAGGGTCCCAACATTTTATTCTGCCAGCAGCTGATGGCGCTGCTGAATCTCTCCCAGTTTCACAGGGACACCTTGCTTTCGCTGTTGCACTCGGTTTCTACAATTGTCTGCTTGGGAGAGAAACATCTTATATTTATGATCAAGCTGTCACTTCTACAGCATCTTTGCCTTTTTAATGATGCTTTCACTGTGCAGTTTTTTATCCCAACCCAGCTGTTTCTGTTTCAGTTAATGATTTCAGGTCAACCAACATATGTTTTTACATCTAATTCTTCCTGTTACATAGTACTTGTTTTGTGTGGCAGAGCAGAATCTGTCGACTGTGTTGTATTTTAGTCAGTTTAACAACGTGGAAGTTTCCTCGTGGATTGAACCTATTATAACTGTCAAAAACTAAAAGAAAGTGTAAAACATCAGAAGTACTTGTGTGTCTCTGCTCTGTACTGTATATATCTCTCTCTGTGGCCTTAGACCAGTGTCGATGAGGAGCCTGAAGAGACGCCTCCACCTGATACTGAGACTGTGCAGGTCATCCCAGGCAGTGAACTCATCTGGAAAATAACGCCACGTCCGGAAAACTCATCCAAGGTACAAAAGGAAATAAACGTGACATTGGTCAGATCAGTTTTGAATATTTTGCTTTAAGTTTCTTTCTTGTGTGTATGCGGGTGTTGCAGTTCTACGCATTTTCGACATTCGCCATGCAGCTAAACGAGCTAGACAAGCGCATGGAGGGCGTCATACCTTCCACAGACAGTCGCCTCAGACCAGATATTTGCGCCATGGAGAAGGGAGACATAGGTACAGTGCGTGATCTTGATTTCCTATGCTGAGCCCGCTGAATGTAATCTGTGGTGGTATTCAGTTTTCTGTATCCACGGCTGTTAGATCTGGCAAGTGCTGAGAAGAAGAGACTTGAGGAAAAACAGAGGATGGCCCGGAAGAATCGCACCAAATCAACAGAGGAATGGAAAGTGAGGTTGGTCAATGAGAAATGAAATTTAAATCGATTGTGGGTGGGCATTGACTGATTGCCTCCATGTTGTCTTCTGCTATTAACTATGCATTTAACTTATTATAATTGAAAAGGAACGCTGCACTTGGCCCAAGGTTTGCTGCGCTTTTTCTGAGTGTTATTTTTCTCTCATGTGAAGTGCTGCACTACACTACACCACACTCCTCAGGACGAAATGCACAAATGCATGTTTTTGTTGCTCTTGGTCTGTCTGTGTGTGTTTTCAGACTATGTCACATAAAAAGTCTGGTGTTTAATACTGTTCAGCTTTTTAACCTCCTAGGACCTGCCGTCCACATATGTGGACATCACATTTTGGGTTATTTAGACCAAAATACTCAATTTTGCTCTACATGGGCCTGATATCCAATTACGAGGACATACTGCTACTGTTCTATCGAAATTTTAAATGAATATCCTCATATGTGGATCTCATTTTTTTAGAAACAAAAATCAGGTATAAAATAAAAAAATCTGGTAATTCTTTGTTTTTACATTCATCGGGCTCCAATATGGCCAAATATCAAAGAGAAATTAAAAATGCATGCTGTGGAAGAGTTCGGGTCTTAGGAGGTTAAAGTTGTACACTGTGGATGGAGCCTTGCCATCAATTTGTCTTTGCTTAGTGTGTGTGTGTGTGTTATGTGTGTGTGTGTGTGTGTGTGTGTGTTATGTGTGTGTGTGTGTGTGTGTTATGTGTGTCATTCTCTTATGTATTTATTTAATCCTTTTGTTATTTCCAAGTGCTGTGCTCATACTAAATCTTCTCACTGTTCAGGTGGTTTCAACAAGGACCCAACCCACACAACAAAGCTCAGGACTGGCTTTACTTGAAAGGCTACTGGGACAGGAATTACTCTCAGCTGCCTGACATTTACTAATAAGTTAAAAAAAACAAGGCAAAACTACATACTGTACAGATTTCTCACCTTTGGACTTCATCTGCTATACTGGGGGTCATAAGCAACTATGTAATAGAGTATAGAACAACAGCTAATGTGTTGGTGTTCGGTTTGAACCCAGAGACATATAATCCTCAGTAGGTCTGTGTGAGTAATAAAGCACAATACTTTCTTTCACTTATTTATTGTGGTTCTTCTTGACCACTTGAGATACCGGCATGTTCTAAAAAAAAAATCTAGAATGTATTTTTAGAAATGTTTCATGTTGGATAGACCGAGTGTTTAAATAGCAGGCTGAGCTCTGTCTGTAGTTTTTCCGTAATTCACATTTGGTCATGAAAACATTTTCCTCATTAGCTTCAGCATCGAGAGGAGTGACGATTCTTAAAATCACCTTTGGCTACGATTGACACTTGTGCATACATACTGTTATGCAGTGCGAAGTATTAAAATAGGTCATTTTGGTATATCGGCCTCTGTTTTCACTTCCTGTTATGAGTGCTGCAGATATTTAGCGATTAACTGAATGTGTTACAAATTTGCCTAATTTGTAGACCTCTACAGTCAAGTGAAACTGTGTGTGTAGCTATATCTAACAGTGTATAAGAAAGATGGCCAGAAATATGACAGTAAGACTTGTTTGAATATCTGATGAAATAAACCCTATACTACGTACTGTATAGATGTGTATAGCAATTAACAGCATTGTGTAAGTCTACCTGGTTCTGTAAACATAACTTTTTTTCTTAACTATACTAAAGCAGGGACATTGGTTCTTCAATTAGATTAGTGTGTGAGTGTGTTTGTGTAAAAGTCTTGATATAGATTAGAATAACTGGTGATCGTCTTAGTACTATGTGCATTGATATAACTGAAATCCAACTATCTCAAACGCATGTGCATCACTACAACTATGCAAGCCTTACCTCCTTTACAGTTAAGCACTGAATATTCATTTCTCATGTAACAATAGCTGCTACATGTATACACTTTAGATGTGTTATCACTGTTTGGTTATTTAAACAGAATTTCTATGTTGCTAAATAAAAGCTTAATGTAAACTCGACGTTGTGGTTTTTTGCGGTTAAAAAAAAAAAAAAAATTCCTGTGTACATGGTTATGGTCATGAATGTTACATTTGCTATGACTGAATCAAGCAATCTGATTACCCAGAAGTTATCTTCTGTGGTGGCTGTAGCACAGCAGGTCATCTGAGAACTGGAAGGCTGGTACTTTGATTCCTGGCTGCTCCAGTCTATGTACCAAAGTGTCCTTAAGCAAGATACTGAACTCTGAGTTGCTCTTTCATTACTCTAAATTTTGTTTGGCATGTTTCCATTTGACAGCTGAAACAAACGTTGATCTTTTTAGCAAAAAGATGCCCATCTAAATATGTTTAGAGGGGCAGAAGACACACCATCACCAAAATCAGGACCATGAAACCTAATATAAAGGGGGAATCATGGTTTAGTATTGCTTTGCTACCTTGGGTACAAGACACCCTGTCATCAAGGAACAATGAATTAAAACAGGTAATAAGTATTAGCCCTGTTACAGGCTGGTGGCCTGTGCGCCTGTGACAGCTGGGATAGGCCCAAGCTCCCCTGTTACCTTGAATTTAATAACCAGAAGAAGATGGATGTAATAACAATATAATAGCAGTAGTTCATAGATGAAGCTCGGAAGTTCTGTAATACAGGATAAGAAAATGGTAAGGAAAAAAGAAAAAAAGTCAAATTTCCATGATCTGAAGGCATCTGAAGCAGTTTGAGGAGGAATGATAAAAGATTCCTCATCATTGTCTGTGCCTCATAAGCCACTACAGGAAAGGCTTAATGCCCCTCGTGATTACTTTGATCACTAAAGAAGTACAAATTCTGTTGGTGAAGAAATGTATTTGTCACCTTTTAAACAGTCGACGAAAACAGATATTCAGTTTTACAATGTTGTTTTTATTATAACAAATATACAGGAAAAACTTTGCAGCAGAAAGGAGCGTTGTGCATTTAAGCCGCTCAAAGTGGCACATTTATTAAAACCTTTATGTGAGACATATTTACACTGATAAAAACGACTGCTTAAAAAGGGGCTGTGCTTTTAAAAAAACAAAAACAAAAGATTAATACACTGCCTATAGATTAGCTTTACAAATGTCAAAGTCAACAACCAACACTGAAGTGGAAATATTGGCTTCTTAAAGACATTTTCAGAGTCATTTCTTGTAATTGCTTTGATGCTTAATACTTGATATGTGCCTTTACACAATCTGAAGAACATTTCCTCCATGTAAGCAATAATGCCTAAGATCTTACAAAACAAATCTACGGGTTTTCATTCAATTCAACAGGCATCTAGTTTTAAAACAAACCCTGAAGACAAAAACAAACAGTGTATTGTGCCGTACAGTAACAGATCGATAACACCTCTTGTACCTGTTTTCTTGTGAAATATTCATGTTTGTGTTCTAAATGATGCACTGGCTCAGAATCTTATAAGTAAAAAGAAATTATTTTAAAGTGAAAATATCCATACTCATTATTGTGGCTTTTTCAAAGACATTTATTTCAGATTAAAGTTCAAGGCTGGGCGGAGGCCGTCATAGAGGCGAAAGCTGAATGAATACGAACGTGGAGTCGGTTCTCAAAGTCATAGCCAGCGTAGTCCTCCTGCACAGAAAACAAAATGAATTTTATTTTGTTCGTGCTCTGCCCTCTAACAACCTCTGCAGTCAACACAGACAGATCAATGAACATGCTGACCAATCAGGTAAGAAAAACAGAGAGCCCAGTGCCCAGTGCTCCTCTTAGACACCGTGTGTCTGCCCAGACATGCAGAGATGGCTGTTACGGCTAATAGAGTGAGATCTGTGCTCATTCAGTGTCAGCTACCAATCAACTAACAAAGTTAATGCTAATGCAAGCAAGATACTTACAACACTGCTCTGCAGGGCGAGACTGCATCAGGCATTCAGACCATTTAATTCCGTTGTTTTCATTCTAATTCTGTTGTTTGTTTTAAACTTCCATTGTTTTCATTCAAATTCTTTTCTTTTCATTCTAATTCCGTTCATTTCATTGAAATTCCGTTGTTTTCATTCAAATGCTGTTTTCATTCAAATTCCGTCGTTTTGATTCAAATTCCGTCGTTTTGATTCTAATTCCATTCTTTTCATTCTAATTCCGTCGTTTTGATTCAAATTCCATTGTTTTGATTCAAATTCTATTCATTTCATTCTAATTCCGTTGTTTTCATTCAAATTCTGTTGTTTTCATTCAAATTCTACTCTTTTTATTCAAATTCTATTGTTTGTTTTAGAATTCTGTTGCTTTCATTCAAACTCTGTTCTTTTCATTCAAATTCCGTCGTTTTCATTTTAATTCCGTTGTTTTCTTTTAAACTTCCATTGTTTTCATTCAAATTCCGTCGTTTTCATTCTATTTCCGTTGTTTTCTTTCCATTTCCATTGTTTTGATTCAAATTCTGTTCTGTTCATTCTAATTCTGTTGTTTGTTTTAAACTTCCATTGTTTTCATTTTAATTCCGTTGTTTTCGTTCTAATTCTGTTGTTTTCTTTTAAACTTCCATTGTTTTCATTCTATTTCCGTTGTTTTCATTCTATTTCCGTTGTTTTCATTCTATTTCC